CTAACCATATCAAAGACTCATCCAGAAGTCAATGGCTACATTGTTCTTGTTATTTTTAAAACAATTGCCAACTAGTTGGGACCAACAGTGCTGTAGAGCTTCTACCCTATGAGGAATCAAATAGCTCGTGTTTTCTTAGCTGTGACCATGATAATAATAAAGATTAAAAGTAATCTAGAGCATGCGCATAGGCTATTCTGTTCCATGTGGTCGGCCAACTGAGAGAAATGCACTTTTATGGATGCAGATGAGATATCAGTGTGCACCCACCAACAACACCCAACTTACTTCCTAAATCCAGAGGATGAGATTGCCTCAGTTCCTCCAGTGTAGTGCCGCTGTGCGTGGGAATGTGTCTTTGTCGTTCGGAGACCAGGATGCTGGGCTGTCATTCCATCTGAATTTGACTAGGGAGGGGGCTGCTCCAACACCAGGTCTTTGACACTGTGAGTCACTCATACTGATTTATTTTATGTAGGTGTGCAGGAGTGCATGCTACAATATGGGTGTGGCAATCTGAGGACAACTCACTGGCATCAGTTATTCCCTCCATCATGTGAGGTCCAGGGGGTTGAACTTGGGTCCTCAGGCTCAACAGCAAGTGTGCCAGCCTGCTGCCCCCGATGAACTCTTTAAAAATTGATCTATAAATGGCAAGCCATGTCTGCCCACACATATCTGTTCTTATTGCTCTTCAACAGTCTGTGTGGCTGCTACACACAACCACAGGCATGGAAACACTCAACAAGCTGTTCATTGAGGTGTATACACTATTCACTGCACAGCTTACACCTCAATGTAAAGATTTTTAAATTTCAAAAGGACATGCTGAACACAAATCTTTCAAATTACTAAAAAGTCTGTAGGTAAAAATTTTCCCACAAGGACAACAACTTATTTACTGAGTGGAAGTATAGTTCCAACTTAAAAATCATGAACATGGAACTAAAGTGTCTTCTAACTCCTTTTATAAGGATGTGCACATGAGTGTGGGCTCATACACAAAGAGAGAGAGAGAGAAACAGACATACAGACACATAAATCAGGAGACCAAAAGAAAAAGAATTACTGTGCAGTTGTACCCAAATTGGAACACAGAATACTCTTGTGGGATTTCTTTCCCTTTTCACTTTCCTTTTTATCTTTGTTCTCTCTCGACATCTTACTTAAACCCTTTCTCAGTTGATTTTCTACCTTAAAGAGAATCCTTCCAATTTCTACTGTCTTAGATTAATTTCATGCGTGTTTACACTTTTTTATTTTATTTTATTTTCCAGTTTAAATTTAGATAAGAAACAAGGTTGCTTCACAAGTCAGTTCCAGGTCCCTCTCCCTTTCCCTCACCTCCTCCCGTGCCCTCCCCCCAACCCCCCCCGTTATCCCCTCATTCCCCCAGGGAGGGTGAGGCCCTCCATGGGGGTGTCCATAGTCTGTCATTTCATATAGGGCAGGGCCTAGACCCTTCCCCAAGAGATCAGGGTGAGAGTGCACCTCACATTGTTCTATGGGAGTCGAAAGTCCGTGTGTATACTTGGGATGGGTACTGATCTGCTGCCCAAGGCTCAATAGATTACCTAGGCGTGTTTACACTTAACGTAAATGCACGCATAGAGCCCACCCATCATCTCTGGGGTGTTTCTGGTCTTCATATCCACTCACCACAATGCCTGCGAAGTGAATGCATGGTGATGATTGGCACAGATGTTCAGTTTTGGACAGTTGAGTTACATCATTGCAGGAATGCACACTTTCCTGCTGAATTCTGCAGCTGGTTGCACATCTGCCTTGTTTTCGTGTTTCTTCTTGGGTCAGCTTGTGTTGACGTTTCTAGCAATTTACTCAACTTGCCTCAGAATTCAAATTCGTGTAGACATATTAATAATTTCTTGTGTGTACTCATACTGTATCTCTAGTTATGGTCCTGGTCTTATAATTAATATGTTATTACACATTATTTAAGTTTTAATGACAAGTCCGTGGTTTACCCCAAATCCAGAGAAATACCGTTTAATTTTAGCCATGAGCAAGAGCTGTCCCTGTGGCACCTGACACCTAAGCTCCTCCCAGTCTTATTATATATTGTGAACTTTATCTGGTTAATAGAGGAATTTCTTTAGAATTGTGTAATTGAACCATATGCTTTGCTGCTTTTGTCAACACAAAGGAATTATGAGCCATCATGACATTATGTGTTTACCTCAAGAAAATGAGCTGTGAATAAGTCTGCAAATGGTCACACATTTTTCCCATTCCTGCCATGTGTGCTTTCTGAGACGTGACTATGCCATCTCCACCTTGAGGATCCCCTCTTTTGAATGTGACCAGGGGCCATGTGCCTGTTCTGGGCAATAGATTAGTAGGTAAGGCATGGGCAGGGGCTGGGGAAGGACCTGTACATTATATTAATGGGAATTTTTGTTCCTCCGTCAGAATGAGCCAAGAGTAGCTGTCACTCTGACCGGCATCACACTCTCTGCTGGCTTGTCCAGTTACACTGGTCCAGACCAAATGATCCAGAAACAGGAAGTCAGTATCCATGGCTGCTCTTATTTGTCTGAACTTAGCCATTCCCTCAGCTTTCTCCTTTCTTTTTCTTGTATAATTCTCAGACACTTACAGGAAGGTAAAACCATTGACATATAGTTCACATGGGAGGCAGCACAGGTCTGGTTATACTAAACAGTAAAGTTGGTCACTACATTCTCTGCCTTTACACATGACAAGGAGAGTGCCTCCCTGTGGAGCAGAGCTGCTGCTACCCTACTGTGTGTGTGTGTGTGTGTGCGCGCGCGCATTTGTGTGCTCATATATGGTGTGTGTGCATGTCAGTGTGGTTGCCTGGGCTAGTGTAGTAGGTGTGGAAGCCAGAAACTAATGTAGGAATATCTCTGCTTTTCTCCTTTTTGTATTTATTGGTGTGTATACATGTGCATTCATGTACATGCCAATGAGTGGGGTGTGTGTGTCTAGGCCAGAGAACAACATCCAGGTGAGTCCATTCTTTCCTTCTTTTTATGATCTGTTCTCTCAGAATCAAGCCGAGGTCCTTAGCTTGGAGACAAGAGCCTTTACCACTGAGTTTGTTTGGAAACAAACAAGTTGATTGCATTATCTAGTACAGGTCGCAGTAACATGTTAATTTATTTCACTGTCTCCTATGTTGTTTTTAAGACTTATTTTCCAAAACTCACATAAGTCCTTATAAATTATCTGTCTTTACACTAGAACTTGTTCTTAGTTTAAAATATTTCCATCTAAATAAAGCAATCAGTAAGCAAAGAATGGGGTATTTTGACCAAAGGTGGAACAGTCTAATGCTAAATGTTCTCATGGGAGAGAAATGAAAGTCCATCAGGAAAAGGATAATTCGGGTTTGTCTCTCATTGCCTTTTAAGGAGAGCACCTTAGAAACACCCTGTTTCTAAAGACCTCTGTAACTATTAAAAGTTTATAGGGAACACAGTTACAAGTGAATCTTTACTTTCCAGACCATCTTACATTCTTTTAATAAGTTGTGACTCTTGGATTACAAAGACTGTTGAATCATTAGACTGTTTCTAATGTAGGATGGTGTAATCCAGAGGAAAGAAAAAACAGCTCTGAATGTACTGAGAATTACACAGAAATGGCTGCTGGCATGTGCACATAAGTACCCGTGCATCAATTGACAATTAGGAAACTAGAAATCAGTAGTCCGGTTGCTTGTCTAATTCGTTTAGAATCTGTATTTTACAAACCCGGTGTTTAGAAATACAAGATGTCTCTTGCTTAAAGAAGCCCAGCATATCTAGAACAGGTTTTCCTGAGATGACAGAGGTCAACAAATGACTAGAGAAACTACCTTCAGTTGGCCAACTTTTAAGGGCATCAGCTCATGTTTGGAGCCTCATGCTGAACCTTTCCTCACCAAGAGAGAACATTCAGAATTACACATAGGGTAGCTGTCCTATAGTGTCAGGCCCTTTTGATAAGGGTATTGCATGGAGTGAGGTTCATAAAATCAAGAAACAGAAGACAGAGAGCCTGGCAGGTGGCCATCGGGCCAGGTGCACTGCTACTTTAAAAATTAAGCATGCATGACCCAACCTTACTCCCTCCCACTGACTAAGAGACCAGCTGAGAGCTGGGACAGCTCAGTTCCAGAGGGGCCCGCAAGCCACCCACACTGAGATACAGGTAACCTTTTAAGCTTTGTGGAATACTTTACCTGAGTGCCGAGTATCCCTCATGGTCTTCCTATTACTGGGGCACATTTCCTAGAAGTAAGGAGGGGGTTACAGCAAGGGTTGCCAGGCAACATGGGCCAGAGGTCCTGTTGAGGAGCCATTTCTCACACTGAGAGGACCAGTTGAAATGCAATAAAGAAATGGTAACTCAGCTTATTTATCAATACAATTACTTACACGGTATTAGGAATCCATATTTAACCTCCAAATACAGAGTCATATGTGGAAACATTAACACAAATGCCTGATAAATATTAAGGCACCGGGCAAGCAGATGGTATTGAGTTTCTAATCAGCTTTACCATGAGCTTAAAGTGGCTGCACAGCCTGGGATGAGGGAAAAGGCACAGAGTGCTTAGCTAGCTCCATTTGGGCATGTGCAAGTTAGCTCTGGTCACAACATATGGTGTTCGTGAAAAGAGCTCTAGGATGCTTTGCCGCATTAATTAGAGCAGGTAGTGCCAATTCCCTGGGGTCAAGTAACAGCTCAAAGTAGCTATAATCTGCAATTCACTATCATATATAAATACCTAAACTGATTGTTCTGTACGTTGATGCACGTGATTTGTCCAATGATGTCAAGATCTTTGTCAGGAGAATTAGTTTTGACTCTAAGTTACGTAGTGCAGGATGGCCTTTGAGAAGTCCACTGTTGTTTTTGTAGGGGGCTCAAACCCTTTATGCTTAGGATGAACTCGGGTTTCTCTTGACTCCTTATGTGTTTGTTTGGCAGACGCCAACTTCCGCTCACATCTCTGCCCTCCCTAAGGATGTCCTTGCTCTGCCCTCCCTGTGGAAGAGTGTCTTCAGTGTCCCAGAGATGGAGAATCCCAGTGTTCAGGTGGCGAGCCTCTGATGTGCTCCTGGCACCAGAGCAGTCCTGGTTATTAATTTAGGAATGCCTCAGCAGGCAAAGAATACTTTTCTTGCAACCATGAGTTACTTCGCTCTCTTTCTGGGCTTCTTGCATCGAGTCGTTCAAACACTCATCTTTGCTTATTTGGTCTCAGTGTCATTGGCTGCCTCTCAGGGCCTTTTCCCAAGGCTGGAGAAAGTGGCACTTTCAAGAAGGTTTTCACGGTGCCAAGCCATGTCACGTGTGGATTCCCAGGCCCCAGCATTTTTTGTCACAGTGAGGCGGATGTTAAGAGCTTGCAGTTGTGACCCCGAGGCTATGTACCCAGGACTGCCCTTACCCTTACCGCTCTGCCTCTCCTTCCTACACCGCCCTCCTGGAAGGCCTTTGAGGCCACCTCCTGGCAGACCACACTGACCTCCATCTTCATTCCAAGATCAACTCCACGAGCTTTATATTCAGAAGTCACAAGAGCCACCCTCCTCTACAAGCTCCAAGGCTGGCAGCAGAATTTACCTTAGCTGTGTGGTTTGAAGGCTGAGCAAGAAGGCATAATGTAAGTAATACCATCAAGTTGTGGGTTTTCAGTTAGCCTAGGACCCTGTGAAACCTGATTTGAAGGTTATTGCAATAATAGCACAAAATTAAGCTAAAAATAGAGCTGTCTAACTAAAGGGTCCCTACAGTTGAAAACCAACCGCTATGGTAGTCTCTCCTCTTCTGGTTTTGCAATCTGAATATGCTTTTCCTGAGATGTTTTCCATCTGTGGTGAATGGAATTGACCATGGAAAAGAAAGTGTTGAAATAGTTGTGTTGGAGAGCAATATATCATGTATATAATATCATATATAATAGTTATTTATTATATGCAATGTAATTATATACTGAAGAACATTAACTATATTTGAGACATTTACTACTCATTCATTTATTTCTCATAGACTGGCTGATCTTTTTCGTCCTCTCCTTTGGAATCTATAGGAAGTTCAGAGTGTACTTGTAGGCTCAAATGCCAGGAATATAAACAATTGTTATGTTTGAATTTGAAGTCTTGCTCAAATTTATATATACAAAATGTCTCTATTATAAAATAATTGTTTTATTGTGCCGGTAGCTTTCTGGAGGCTTAGGACTGTTTTACTTACCTTAATTTTCTCAATAAATGTTTGTTTGACTAACAGAATATGGTCAATGATAGACTTGGATGTATGACACAGTACAGTGTTTGGTCTTCACTGTGTAGTGTTTCCATATTCAAATTTGGTAGGAAGTAGACAAGCCTGGGAAGTTCTCCAAAGCTTCCCTGATGTTGGATCTGCTAAGGATGCCCTGGACATGCGTTGGGAGTGAGCTCCCCTACCACCAGCTGTAGTCCAGTGATCATGAGCTGTTCCTACTGTAATCTTTTCTCACACTGGTGTTTGAGACAAGTCCCCTAAATAATACAAAGACCGGCCAGAAACTTAACAAGAAACATTTTTGGCAATCTTCATTTGATTTACTTTTAACATTTTTAACATGTTAGTATGTATGGATTTACAAATGTGTGCATATACGTGCAGTCCAAGTGCCTATAGATGCCCGCGAGGGTGATGAGCTCCCTGACATGGATGCTAGGAACTGAACCCAGGTCTTCTTCTGCAAGAGCAGCAAGGGCTTTGACCTCTTAGTCATCTCCCCAGCCCCCATTAATTTTTTAATAGTAAAGTTTTTCTTTAGTATTTTCATTCATGCAAAAACTGTTCTAGTTACTCTAACCTCATCTTTTGCCTCCTAGTGCAGTGACATTTGCTTTGTGGGGATGTGTTGGGTACCTATCCATCTCACAACTTAGGAAACAACCAGGAAAATCTTGCCATCTCGCAAACAAATGTGACTTAGAGGTGTTTACCTCCCATCTGTCAAGTGGAAGTCCATGAGTTTTACTTTTATTTAAAGTTTGGAATATAAATAGTCACAATCCATTTTCCTTGTTTCTTCTGATTCCCTGAAAAAGACTTGACTGTTTTAATGTTGGAAATTCCAGGAGATTCAAGCTATTTGTTATGCTATCAGCACCCATATTTTAAAGCATTTTTTTCAACCTTACAGAGACATCTCTGTACCCAATGTCTCTCCTTTTGGCATCACTTTCCATAGACAAGACACAGGGGCATTCATAGAGGTGGTGGAATGAGCTTTATGGTTTGGAGGGTCCACTGCTTGTATCAAGGTCATTTTCATTCTTGAAGCTAAAATACCTATGGGAACTGGGGGAATTTGGGGGTGTTTGCACTAGATAAGTAAAACAAACAAAACATGGATTATCCAATTATTGTGTATTCAGGAGCAGAATAAATCCAGTTCCTAAATATTTTACTACCTGCCTTCGTCTCACATTTATTATCTACCAAAGTTAGAGTGTTTATAAGCAAACAAAATAGCAAGGGAGATAATCAATAACATATTAAGAAAAGCATTTTCAGCAAGCTTGGGGAAATAGGTCTGCATTTGGTAAATACATTCCTGTGTAATGATTGAATTCTCACTTGTAGATTTTACACTCAAGACAAATGAACAAAGGAAAACTCTTAGACTAAGGCCCAGAGACTTAGGATACAGATGGATTTTTTTTCATGTCAGTAAATCACAAATATTCAACTACTGAAGTGTTAAATAGTCTGCAGTAGTATCTATATACATATGTGTGTATTTTTAAAAGCTTTTATCTAAAATGATTTGCCAAAATTAAAAAGATGCGTTACTTCCTGTCTTACCAAACACAGGCAAAAGATAGCAAATTAGTGTCAATAAAAAAGAGACCCTTGCTCTCTCCAACCTTATTCTACTTCCCAATGCAGGACAGCATAGGGGAGAGTGAAGTGAGGTTTTTAAACTATCCCTTGTAAAGATAATTTTGAAATATCTTTAGCAGCAATTCTTGGGTGGTCTGATTTCACTTTTACCTCTGGGATGCTCCTGACTGAACTGATCACTTTTGGGGTGGGTCTGTAGTATTGTACACAGAATACCGATGCCCCAATAGATAGATTCTTGTTCCTGCCAGAATGGCAAAGCGTGTTTAGTTAGCCTACACTTTGTCAAGCTGAGACAATAATGTTTCACGATCAGTGGTGCCCATGAAGATGCCTGGCCTGAGTGGATGCCAGTCGTGTTAGAAAGAGTCCCAGGCTCTGAAACACATCCTAGGTAATCAGGAAAGAAGGGACCTTTTAAAAGAAATTCCAGCCCAGAAATGTAGGCTCCACCCATCACCTCAGGACTGAGAATGCTGGGCCTGCAAGATTAAAATCGTCTTGGGCGAGGTAGCAAAACCCATTCCCTGAAGTAAAGTAGGTCTATCTTATGCCCCCAGAGACTTCCTAAAAGCTGTTCTGTGTCATCAAGATACTACTTGATTTTATTCTTGTAAAGAAAACTTCCCTCCAAGACCATCCCACCAGCTCCGTGTCTCAGCTGGACCACTGGCCTTGGAAGAGGCAAGCAGTCACCTTGTACACGCTGCTTTTGAGTCCTGGCTGGCACAAGATGAAGACAGAAGAGATGGTAGAGCAATTCTGACTCCAGGGCTAATAATTTAGACCCTTCCATGGGCTCCAAATCCACTTAACATTAAAAGAAGAAAGATTTGCCCTGATAACTCAAAATCCATGTGGGATGTAGGATGTCCTAGCACTTCCTATAAAAGGCATAGTGAGGGAACTGATGAGCCAGTATCCTAAATGTTAGTTTTCCAGTAGGACGCTGTGACTTTACTTTCTATCATGAATCTCTAATGGAGGGTGTTGAGGCTCTGGGGGAATATATTGTAAATAAGAATTCTATTTTTTACATGAATAGGATGACGTCTGTTGGAATACATCCTTTTAGGGGTGTAGCAAGACTCTGTCTGGTACTTAGTGAAAGCACACTTTGCGTGGGGGTCAGGGTCACATTACCATGGCAACACCCTGCATGTCGATTTGGTTGGATGCTGACCTTCTCTGTCTTTTCTGGTTGCTTCCTTGGGTGTGTGATAGAAAAGACAGTGGATGGGCAGATTGTGTTCAAAGTTACAATATCTGAGAAAGAGACCATGTTTTATTATCGCACAGTAAATGGTTTGCAGCCGCCAATAAAAGTAATGACACCAGGGAGAATTCTTATGAAGAAATGGATTCATCTCAGTGTGCAGGTGAGTAAAATAAAAAATATTTAACATTTGGTTAAACACAGGGATCTGTCATCCTGTCTCTTTTTTAAATGGAATCTACCCAGAGAAGCCAAAGCGGTGTCTAAATTCCTGGTATATGTAATCGACAGCAAAGGAACACACATTTCAATGACCTCACGCTGTATCTCCTGGTGGGTTAGTGTCTCCTCCCCCCCCCCTTATGCTGCTGTAAAAATCTTAGCCCCAGAGTTGTACGGTAATGATGCCATGAGCATTAATCGCATGTCCAGGGAATTTCTGTTTTATTTGGTCACTGTGTATTGTGTTTAGACGGTAACTCCTTTGGAGTCCTGATCCTCACTAATTATAGCAGCATTTAAATCCTTGCTTGGTTTCTACATCTGTCTTTCTCAGATAGTGTCTGATGATGTGAGTGGAACTTGACTGTTGTATTAAGTCAGTGACCTTAGAACTAGTGAACTTTATATTTGAGGCATTCTAAAGGTGTTACATTATCACTGAAGTTGTCAGCCACAGTTTGGAAGGAAGTTAGAGGCCGTCAGATGCTGAGGTATCTGTGAGATGTCTGGCATTTACAGTGTCTGGGATAGAGACAGAAGCTCTTTGTTTCTTCAGGGCTTCCGGTGCCTCCGTGCTGCCAAACACAATCTTGCTTTTCAAGCCAGAGTTAGAATGTGCTCCATTTCCCAGGAGGTGAGCCTATCTGAGCACTCACCCAGGGGTTAGCATAGCTCCTTGTCACATTAGAGGACTCTTGTAGCCTTGTTCATTTTATGAAAATTATCTTCGATTTCACACACTTATATACATAAAAGCAGGTATGTGTATATATACATATATAGTTATATATGCCTATATATAAAGAAAGCAAACATAAATTGTGTGTATATATATACATATATATCTGAATCAGGTAGTAAATACATTTCCTTGGGGGGGTCTTGAGAATTCTTTGTTTTATATTATTAGTTTTACATATCATTATCATCCTTGATAATTTGAGTACATAGTGTATACCCATTTGTTTTTATCAGCTCATAAGACTGTTAAAAATTCCATACTTTGCATAACAGTGCAGTAGTGCCCCAAAAGAAAAAAATATGTATATGTATGTATATACTTATGCATGTACATGTACACACATACACACACACACACACACACACAATCACAATTGGTTAATTGGTTTCATGGAGGCATTCACGAAGCTACCATACCCACTCAGGGTTTTTGGTTAGGACATTAGCTCAGTGCATGTAGTTGATAAGGATCAGGTTTCCCTTGTATTCTATGCCACAGGATGCAGAGGGTGGATCCCACCTAACACCAGGACCTGTAGTAACAGCTAGGCTCCATCCTGGCACTCCCCACTGCACAGCAGTTCAGTAGTTAACAGATAAGGGACTGTTTGTCTTGGGTCTAGAAGTTTCCCATTCTAATAACTGATTGGAACAATCAAATTGGGCTCTAATTTTTAAAATGAGGAAGTAGAAACTTCTAGAAAAGAAGGCACTTTGTAGACAATTCCAAAGCATCTGTGTGCTTCTGGCAGATTTTGGTGTCTGCAAACAATGAATACAATCTTTCTGGTTATCTTTGTTTTGCCTGGTCTGCGAAAATGGGCAAGACTTTGGTGGGTGTAGTGTATGCAAGCTTTAAGAAGCAAGTTCCAACTTCAAAAAGGCAGCGGTGTTCGCATCGCCACCCTGGGAGTGCTGCCTGCCTTGTAGGGCACCACTGAAGTCCGTGTCGTCATTTCTACTCACTTCACAGGGGAAATCATTGCCTAGGTTGGGTGAATTTTTTGTTTTTAAATATTCCCTTCTTTAAAGGTTAGCATACTGATGCTTTTTTAATCTATTACATTTTGTGCGTATGAATGTTTTGCCTGCATCTAGTTAAGTGTGCATTCATGTGTATAGTGCCAAGGGAGACCAGACGTGGGCATCAGACCTGCTGGAACTGGAGTCACAGGAGCTGTGAGCCACCACGTATGTGCTGGGGACAGAGCCCCAGCTCCTGGAAGAGCATCAAGTTGTTCTCTTAACTACTGGGCCATTACTCTACTCCCAATGTCGATAGCTTAACGAGGCAGCTTGCGTTTTAAACTGTTTGTCTACTGTGGAATAATTTATCTTTCCTGATTTATCAGAATTTTTGTGGGTTTTTTAATTTGTTTTTTACTTTCTGGCTTAAGAAATTATAATTGAGTTTTTGAGGCAGGCTCTTGATTGATTCTCTGCCTGGTGTGGACACTAAGCTGTTGTCCAGAGTGATTGCAAATAACAATCCTCCTGCTCCCATTTCCTAAGTGCTGAAATTACAGGCATGTGCCACTGTGCCTGGCTATTACGTTTTAAAAATAAAATCACTCTACTCTAATTAACTCACAAATGAAAACATCACACAGTTAGATTAATGAAGCTGATTAAGCACTTGCCCATTCCCAAACCCATATATCTCAGTGAACTTCCACGCAGTTGGAATGGTCATACTGAAGCCAAACAGTTTTTCTTGGGGCCTTACACTTTCACTGTCAATTATATTGTTACTCATTTATTGACAATAGAAACCTAGAAGGCAACTGACTTTAGATCCTCTTTCATTAGTCATGTGTCCTTTTGTTATTATACATAAGCTACACAAAACAATACATCTTATTGTGAGACTTTCATGCACACATGCAGTTGCCCTGATTATCTGTGTTCCCTCTTAACCATGGATCTTGTGTGTGTAATGTGTGTGCACATGTGTGCGTGGGTGTAGGTACCCATGAAAGCCAGAGAGGGAGATCAGATGTCTGGTGCTATCATTCTCCACCATAGTCCCTGAGGCAGGATTTCTGAGCCTGGAGTTTGGCTAAGGCTAACAAGCCTGAGTTATTAAATCTCACATCTCCACTCCTGACAACATGCTAGTCCAAATGCACAAAGCCAGGCCTAACTTTTTAAGTAAGTGCTGGGGATTTGAACTTGGACCCTCACACTAGCATAACAGTCTCTCTTATTTATCTAGGGAGCCATCTTCCAAAGTACCTAATACTCCTTCTGACTTCTAGTTCTTTGGTTTGCTTTTTTCTATATTCTACATATGACAAAAGGAATGTAATTTTTGGAATGATGCAATTATATTGTAATACCAAAAAAATTTAAAGATGTTAACAAAGTACCATCTACAAGAGATTGAAAAGAAAAAATAGTGTCACACACCCATCAACAAATTAGTATCTGTATATGTATATATATGTACATATATATATGTGTGTGTATGTATGTGTGTGTATATATGTTTTGTGTATTTAAATATATGAATGTCAAAATAAACCAAAGGGACTAAATGCTATTGCCAAAGTGGTTGTTCATGCAGAAATGAATACTCACCTTTCCTTCCCTGAACTTGGATGTCTTCATGGGTGAAGAACCCCCTATGGAGAGCAAAAACTGGGGGATACTAAGCCCCTCTCTTGGATGTGTTGCTTTTCAGTGAGTTAGTGGGAAAAGCTTAGAGTAAGAGCTGACTGGAATAGCTCTTTCCCTGCTCAGTATGGTAAGAAAACCAAACACTTTCTCAGATGGAGATTACTGGGACAGACTGAGCAAACCCCAGGACAGGCTGGCACTGTCTCCTCTGTGTGCCATGATCCTAGGATCCTCCAGCAAGCCAACCTAAAGCACAGGACAGCAAGCTTCACTGGGTTGAAGGAGTGCAACTGTGCTGGATTTCCCACCGCCCATGACTGGCCTTTTTTTGTGGCCTTGTCACTGTAGGCATTTGTACAGTCATGCCTAGCCTCCTAACCCTCCTCAGCTGGCCTCTGAGCTACAAACCATTTCAAATCTCACCGGATACATTCTTCAGTGAGCTTGCCACCCTGGGCCACGTGGTAGATCCTGGATGGGACAGGATGGTTCTGCTTTCTTGGAGCTTCAAGGACTGAAACTGTGTCAACTTATCTCTCAGAGCAGCAAATGTAGTAAGGCCTTCTAAGGATGGCTCACATCATAGGAGCAATTGTGTTTCCAGAAACACAGGCATGCCTCAAACAAGCTCCCACTGTACCTGCTAGGTCATGTGAGTTCACACAGCCTTTGGATACTGCGTGTTTCTGTGTCAGATTTTACCCACAGTCCCCTCCCCCCCTTTTCCCTTTGCATGGCTTTTTTCTCAGTGCTTTGTTCCCACAACCTGGGTTTGCTTAGTATCCACTTCTCATTGACAAAATTAGAACACTGGGCAAGGGAGATGGTGCTTGCCACCAAGCTGGATGATGTCAGTTCAATCCCCAGGGAGAGAACCTGATACTTATCCTCTGACCACATGCAACTTGCTTTCTGGCCATCAGATGCATCCCGTGGATCACATGCCCATATACCACATACTCAGTGAATAAATTTAAAAATGTAAACAGCAGAATTCTAACTTCCCTCAAACTTTTTTAAACGGCTTTAAATGATTAGATCTCTGGGCAACAAAGATACCAGGAAGTGCCAGGCACATGAACAGAAGATCTAATGTCCTATCCAAAATTGTTTTAGTGACACGTTTCTACATTTATTTGAAAGCCAGCATTTTGATATAAGAGCTGTCAGAAAATGGGAAGTCTAAATTAATATAATTTGGGGACTTCAGTCTTACGTGGTTACAGATTTAAATTTTGCTTTGCGACTTAACACATTAGTCTTTTCCGATTATGTAATAAGGTAATTTATTAAGCCATACTTTTTATACTGAAACTTGAAAAATCAACTCATATTTTTATTAAGCAAGCACAACAGGTATAATCATAGGAGATTTTTAAGGGCTTAATATTCATATTGTATTAGCATATGTTATAACTACTAAGAACAGGTCTTTACATTTTTTGGAACACATAGAGGAGTTTTATTGAGTGTTTTGTTGTGGACTGGCAGGCAAAAGTACTCGGAAGTATGTGTTTAGCTGTACATCACTTGAAAGTAAAATCCCTGAGTCTCCTGTGAAAATTGTCTTTGCCTGTAACT